GTAATATGGCCCAGTACCATTTGGCCCACTATTATCTGGTTTATTGTAATATGGCCCAGTACCATTTGGCCCACTATTATCTGGTTTATTGTAATATGGCCCAGTACCATCTGGTCTATTATCATCTGGCCCAGTATAATCTGGTCTACTATCATCTGGCCCAGTATAATCTGGTCTATTATCATCTGGCCCAGTATAATCTGGTCTATTATCATCTGGCCCAGTATAATCTGGTCTATTATAATCTGGCCCAGTATAATCTGGTCTATTACATATAGTATTGTTGGAAGCAACACTGAGCATTGCACAGTTTGGAGGTCAAAGAGACGGCAAATAAAAAGAATACTGCATGGCATGGAAATACACAACAAAAATAAAATGTGAACTTTTACTTTACCTTAACATAAAATATAAATGGTGACTTTTTTAACAGGACGTTGAATGTTTGTGAACTGTTCTATTAGCTGGTTTTATTTGTCCTTGCATAGTGACTCTCCATCTTGAAACATCTCTATAGGAGAGTAATGACTTCAGGTGGTCATTTTTTTTATTTTTTTTTTGCACTCTAACAAGTTACTCTTTTTGACTGCAGCCTCTCTTCATGTCAGCTGAGACGTCTGGGCCTCCTGATTTGGAGAGGAGCTGCCAGCCAGAAGAAACCCAGATGGAGGGAGATCCTTTGAGAGAAGAGACAGACTGGTCAGAGCATATTGGCAGGAACTGTGTAGTATGTCAGAATGCAGCAGTGAACAGGGTGCTTCTGCCCTGCAGGCATGCCTGTGTGTGTGACAGCTGTATGCTGCACTTTCAACACTGTCCCATTTGCAGGGCCTTTGTCATGGAGTCATTTGCACTTAGAGCAACACGGACATGATGGCTGCTGGCTTGTCGATAGGGGGCACTGGGGTGACATCCATGGGGGAAAATGTGTAGAGTTAGTAGATCACCACAACTATTCTTTTAAAATTCTATGTGCACAAGGACAATTTCTAATTTGTCAGGATTTCTGTTTCAGTTTTTGTTTATTGGTGCTTCATTTTTATGTAGGTTTAGAAACATGTTTTTAGTGAGCATGTATCTATGTTTTAGTTCCTAAGCTTCCATGTGTCTACCTGCTGGTTTTTGATTGGCTACTCTTGTTCCATTATTTTAATTTGATTTTAAATATGTATTAAATATTATGATGAAAATAATTATGCATTTCTCTAAAAGGATGAATATTGGTAACACTGGTCTTTAGACGATTGAACCATTGATCAAACCTTTGTTCAGTTCCAGCAGTCAAACCAGCAGCAGGTAGAGAAAAATAAAAAATTTGGTTCAGTTTAGAATGTGGAAACTAAAATGTGACACACAGCTTGTCAAAGTAGTAAGTGCTAGTGCTCAAAGACGATTGTTAGCATTCGTCCACCATGTCACTGGTGGACAAACAGTATTCCTTTGGAAATCCTCATCTTTTTTGCCCTTGGATAAAGCCTTCCTAAAGCCATTGTACAGAATTATGGCTTGGCAATTGGCTTTCTTCTTTGAAGGTTCATGTCCTCCAGCTGCCTAAATCTAGACCGCTGGAACATAGGACCACTATTCATCATTTGGACATGATTTTCAATTTTTTATTTTAACTTCAAACTGTTTTTTTTTTTTTTTTCCTGCTGTGCTTATCAATGTAGCTTCATCTGGCCTGGTTCTGTTTATCTATGACCCCATCCTGGGCAGAAGCCTGAACATCATCTGTTATAGATGATAGAGTCATCTGCTTAACGGTCTCTTTCCTAGACGGACCCACCTGTGGAGCTAGTTTACCTACTTTAACAGAGTATTTTTAGATCAGTGCTTGTGTTCCTCTTGAATGTCTGCTTCTGTCTCCTTGAACCTCAGTCGGCCTCAGCAGATGGCCGCTCACACTAAGCCTGGTTCTGCTGGAGGTTACAGGCGGTGGCCCCCTCCTGACTGCTCCAGCCTCTGGGACAGGCGGTGGCCCCCTCCTGAC